TTGTGTGGATTAATCAGCAGATTTGCCCCCGTGTGATAACATCCTTAGATAAAGGGGATGAAACAATTACTTTCTTGATGATGCTGGAAGTGACTCCAAGGATAGGAAGGAAGCCAAAAGCCCATCGATTTAGGAACAGATGGAGCAGAGACATGCCAGGGACTGCCCATTTGCCCATTTCCTTTCCCAATGATCACTTGATGCATGTGTTGATGATTTTTAACTTCCAACATGAGGAAGAAGACATCAGCTAGGTACTCTCTAGGGTACTATTGATGTTAGTGACAAATTAACCTTAAACAGTGCCCAGTCAACTCTTGGGATAGAGTAGAGCAAAAACTAAAGAAGTAAGCAACTGATGAGCTGTCTAAAAGATCAGAGAAAGTATGGAGCAATTGAAGAGGAGGGCATTACTGGCCAATGGAACATAGCAAGCTGCTATATACAGAGTTAAATCATTGATAATCTCTCTCTCAGTATTGTCAAGTCAGACTGGCAACAACTGATGCCCATAATTTCAAAGACAGCACTTTCCTCTACTTGAAAACCTACAACATTCTCTGATGATCTCACAGCCAAGTACTGATGAGGCCTAATCCTGTTTAGTTTCAAGAATATGATTGGAGTTTTCAGGATGATATGGTGATGGTAATGGATTGGGGAAAGGGCAGCATATGTACAGGGCAAGGAGCTGCTGCTATTGTTATTGCTACTACTACAAGGGTCTCTTGAGATTTGGTACTCTGAAAAGAGCATATTCTGCCTCCCTCATGGTTAGCTATTTTTAAAGAAAGTAGTTTAACAGTTGGCTCCTTTCATATTAATCTTTCCATTCTGAGTGCACTTCCCCACTGTACTATAACCATGGAATAGAGCAATTGGTGGTGGAGGGGGAAGGGTAAAATGCATATTTTATAGAAAAGCAATTGTGAAAAGGGATTCCAGGTACAAGCCACTTTCTCTCAATAAATTTGTAATTTATATATGATAACTGAGTAGTATGAAAATAGAAAGAACATTTATCACTTCCTCTCTTTTTATCACACACACCCTGCTACCATTCCAAGATGGTGGGAAAGGGCTTAAAATGAACTTCTCCTCTCTAATTTTGCTTCTGGACAGGACTTCAAAATTATGCTTTCCCTATTATTGTCTCAGAATTTTAATGCAGCCCATCATAATGTGTTGGCTAGATTACATTTCAGTAAAGATATTTAACTGCTAGTGACAAAGTTCAGGTTCACACTTCATGCATTACAGCAAGTGTCCACCATTTTTTATAAAGTTAAAAGCTTTCAGCATGTTCTGTGCATGTTTACTGTAAATTCCATCATGTTCAAAGGGGCTTGCTTGTTAATAAATTTGTCAGTGTTAAGGATTATAGTGTAAAGTAGAAAAAGAAAGATACCTGGAAGTTTTGCTATCTCATGATGCATATCCAGTATGGTTGTTGTTGTTGTTGTTGTTGTTGTTGTTGTTGTTGTGTGCCTTCAAGTTGTGTCCAGCCTATGTTGATGCTAAGGTGAAACTATCATGGTTCTTCTTTGCAAAATTTATTTGGGGGGGGGGTTGCCTTTGCTTTCTGCTGAGACTGAGACAGAAAGATTTGTCCAAGGTCACCCAGTGGGTTTCCATGGCTGAATGAAGGATTTGAATCCTGGACTTCAAAGTAATAGTCCAGTGTTGAAACCACTACGCCACACTATCTCTTACCAGAATGTTTACAAACATTCCTATTTGCAGAAACAAGAGATGGTTCCTATGGAAAACTTTGCTCTCTTTAGTAGACTTGCATCTGAATTGTGTGATGGATGGAGTGGGGAGTGGAGGGAGAAACACAATATTCAAGGTGGCAGGGGTCTGCAGCAAAATTGAACAAAGTGAGGTCCCAGTGAGTCTCAGAAAATGTACCTGGGATTGGGGATTGGGGAGCACTAAATAGACCAATGCAGGAAGGAAGAGCAGTTGCATAGGAAAGGGGTCTCACTGTCTTTCAGAAATGCAGTCAAGAAAAAATGAAAATTACTAGAGCCTGTACAGACTTACCTTTGAGTAAATCCCATTGAGTTTAATGGGGCTTACTTATGACTATGGGAATTTAAGGTTAGTTATAATAAAATATTAGCAACATTTTGGTTGTGACCTTCCCTGACTTTAGAAGTGAATGTAATCAAAACACATGCAAGAGCAGAACAATTTAAAAGCATTAACATGTAGTGTGAAGTTCTTTTATAATACCATGTGATATAACATTCAAAAAAACAAATGCTGTGAAAACCTTTTATAAATCAACAACATGCCCAGTTTTCCAATAATTATTGCAGATCCACTTACTAACACACATGCAAGCATTCTTAAGGCAGAAGGTTACATGAAACCATTCAAATACAGAATGAGTTCTTCAGCTTGAAAAATACTTACATATTCTACTTCCATTACTTTATAACAAAATATGTAAAATATCTTCTATTTCTTTCCATTTGTATCTTGTGTGCATTTGAAGCTTTTCCATCACTCCATGATTTTGCAGTTCTTATACCATTCTCCCACTAGGAAAAGTAGTTTCTGTAATTACAGAGTTTGGAGCAATTACAAAAATCGCAGGCAATTACATTTTAAAAGGAAAACAAAATATAAAAAAACTATGAAGTAAGCTTTAAAAGAGCTGAAAGCCTTCAAATGAAGGTACCAAGGAATTGCTGTTTGTGGCTCTACAGTTTAGTAATCTCATAGTAGTCAAGGGCTGGGGGGTGGGAAAGGGAAAATGAGGCTACCAAAAGAAGCCCTCATTGGGATAAATGATGGAGAAAAATCCCCACTAGGTGGTTCCCATCCAACTCCACTTTATTTCATTTTTTGCCATCCCCACCTTATTGTTTTCCAAGAAAATATCAAAGGCACTGTGAACATTATTCTGTTTTATGTGATCATTATAATCCTCTGTTCATTGCAGTGGTGTTTTGTAGTCAAAGTCCTTGCACATCAATTGAGAAGATTACTTTTCTGAAACTACAACTCTCAGAATTACTCAGTCATGATGGCCATTGTAGCAGGAATATTTTGGGGAGTTGTAGTCCAAAAACTCTTTTTTCCAAACTCTGCTGAGTAAAGCTTATACACGATTTCTTTATTACCTTTTCTGGGCAAGGTGATCGAGAGGGCAGTTGCCTTCTGACTCCTGGCAGTCTTGGATGAAGCTGATTATCTGGACCCATTTCAAACCGGCTTCAGGGCAGGATATGGAGTTGAGACTGCCATGGTCTCCTTAGTCGATGACCTCCATCTGGGTATCGGCAGGGGAAGTGTGACCCTGTTGGTCCTCTTGGACATCTCAGCGGCATTCGATACCATAGACCATGGTATCCTACTGGGACACCTGAGGGAATTGGGTATCAGGGGCATTGCGCTCCAGTGGCTCCGGTCCTACCTCTTGGGCAGATCCCAAATGGTGAAGCTGGGGGACAGTTGCTCCTCTGAAAGGGAGCTGTCATCTGGCATCCTGCAGGGCTCCATACTGTCCCCCATGCTGTTTAACATTTACATGAAGCCGCTGGGAGAGATCATCTGAAGATATGGGGCACAGGGTTATCAATATGCCAATGACACCCAACTCCTTTTCTCTGTCTCTGACTACTGCAGTGACTAAGGATGGTGTCACTCCTCTGGATGCTTGCCTTGGGTCGGTAATGGGCTGGATGAGGGAAAACAAACTCAGGCTGAATCCAGAGAAAAGAGAGGTACTTGCAATAGGAACCCCTGGCCCGGGAAGGGAGTTTTGTCATCCAGACCTGAATGGAGACACACTTCCCCTAAAGGATAAAGTACGCAGTCTAGGAGTAATCCTGGACTCATCGCTGCAGTTGACATCTCAGGTAGATGTGATGGACAGGAGTGCTTGGAACCAGCTTTGGCTGATTTGCCAACTGCGCCCCTACCTGGACCAGAGGGACCTTGAAGCAGTAGTACTTGCCCTGGTAATCTCTTGCTTGGATTCCTGTAATATGCTCTACATGGGGCTACCTCTGTACCAAGTTTGGAAGCTTCAACTGGTCCAAAATGCGGCAGCTAGGTTGGTCACCGGAACATCCAGAGCAGACCATATTACACCTGTATTAAAAGCTCTTCACTGGCTGCTGATTAGCTTCTGGGCACAATACAAAGTGTTGGTTATTACCTATAAAGCCAAGGGTAGGCAACCTTTCCCCTTTAAGGGCCAAGGGACTTCAGCTCCCAGAAGCCTCAGCCATGTTGGCCAATAGTCCCATGTTGGCCAATAGCTCCTGGGATTCTGGGAGCTGAAGTCCCTCGGCCCTTAAAGGGGAAAGGTTGATTACTCCTGTATAAAGCCATATATGGCTTGGATCCAAGTTACTTGAAGGAACGCCTCTCCCCACATAATCCACCCCGCTCACTCAGAACATCAG